TCTGTTAACTTTACTTGTTAAATAACCACATTGTACAAAGCATTGCAGAATATGTTATAGATAGATGGATAGATAGACCATAATACTAGTATACATCATCTTTATCGAAATTCACTATGAAAATGCAGTGAATGACAAAACTATAACCACTGATTTTGTGAGATGGTTACCCTATATGAAGTAATATGTGGGGTGTCTACTTTTGCAAATGGTGAGCCATGGTGTCACTTGAATGTGACGCATTCAAGCCAAGGAGACACTGGCCATCAATCAATGTCTATATTTGGGGATATTGCTATGCTGTATTTGTAGAATAATACAAATTTGACATTTTTATATCGGTTACATTAAATAATTAGAATAAAAGTGTCAAAATGCTCCCAGGTCTGAGGTGTCAAGTTCCTACCATTTTGTGTGACAATTTAAAATGTGAAAGCATTCACTTTGTTAACACAATAAAACCCTCTTTGTGTCATCTGACCTTTAACTCTGTTTTACGTTGTTGGAAATTATAGTAAGCATTACTGATTTATTTTTCATTTTTTAGCATTTTTAATATTTCATATACATCTAATGGCATAACACTGGATATGTATATATAAATGCATTCTGTAAATTGTATCCCACAACCATTTGCAGTTAATCGGATTTGTTATGTCCATTCCCAGTGGTCAAAAGACAGAGGGAGGTTTAAAGTGACTATTAAATGACTGGCTAGTAAAACTGGAATTGAACTTTAGAGTCCTGGTATTATTCAAGTGATACAATTTACTGCTAGATTTAGTGATGTTAGCAGATTAAAAGTCAGGTTCAGAGGTATTCTGTATACTTTTCTTTCAAAAACTGGCATGGGAAAACAGTAATTAGGGCACCTAATTGGGGAACCCAATGAATACTTCTTTATTTTCCAGCAATTCCCAGATTCCCCCTTTGCCATGCATAAAGTAAAGGATAAGCAACTGCAGGTGCTTCACGATGTAGCCAGGTTTTGGAAACCCCAATCATTTATACAGATGTTGTATCTAAGCAGGTATGTTTTCATTGTTGGGCAAGTTGGGACGTTAGGAATGTGCAATCTGAAATCCTTCTATAAGTGGGCCAGCTCATTTTCAGGAGTCAAGTACAGGGGAGAGGTAGGAGGGGCCATTAGTATGCAGCATTTGTGGCCTGCTCTCACTTTTTGTCAATATAAGCAACTGGCGGAGTGTTGAGATGTTATTTATCGGTGCTTGGTCTGCTCCCTATGATCTCAATGCTTCCACGTCTGGACTAGCCCACTGAGATATTTCCTCTGATCCCTGATTTGACATGTAACAAAAAGGGCTATTCAGTTGTATTTGCTTGCAAGGCCAAACGTTGTCAACCCTCTGTGTTGTCAGGTACAAACTAAGTGAACGTACAATTGCTGTTACCATGATGCGTTTCAGCCACAAGTTAAATTAAAGGCAGTTTGGTCTGATCTATATCTGATCTACCGAACTATAATAAGGAAATGTCTTCTGAATTACTTTATTGAAACCCAGTAAGCGTACCAGCAGCCTCAGATGATTTCATGTATGAAAACACATAACATTTTTCTTTTGCACTTGCTGTGGCATTTCCCAGATTAAGAAGTTATGCAGCCTGACAGTAAACTATAATGCAACAAGTCTTAACAGATTGCTTGGGTTCAGCCTTTCATGTTCCCATTCCAGCACCTGTCATAGACAAGGCCAGGGGTGGTCTCAATGTGCTTTTTTTTTTTTTAAACGATTATTCTTTCAGCAAAGTGCATGATTTCATTGAGGCATTGAGAGATTAGGAATCAACTGAATTACCAAATGAATGCTGTGTTTTGTACGCAAACAAGAGGACTTTAACTAAGGTGTGGAATGTAAGCGCTTGAGAATGACATTCCATCCCGAGAAATTTGCCAAAATTGAAGCGAGTGAATTGGATTTTATGGATCAGGATATATTAATTGCCAAAGCTCTGTATTAAATACAACCCAACAAAATGTCAATGTTATACTTTAAAAATGCAATATATTGCAGAAAAGAGTTTAATTTTCCGCATATAATAGCCATAATGAAACATGACAAACTGATATTTTACTCTACTTGTGTATAGTATTGTTTGTAACCTTGTTTTTTTTTTTTCACTTAACTTTAATTTGTAGTGAATTGAAATCCAGATTTTAAAATATAGGCCAAAATAGCTGATTTGGATAAAATCCCAAATTCAAATCTAGTCATATTTAGTCTAAATGTATGCCTCTGTTTAACTGACTGTCACATATAGCCGTAATAATACAAGACCACATACACGTTTTCTTTAAATGAACTGTACGATTGTAGCATAGTGCTGTGCAAACTTCTAAGGCAATTCACATAGTGGTGACCTTTAAAGGTATATTTTCAAATGTCAAGTTTGAAACTGAAAACATTATAGTGGTGCTTGCCAAATGTCGACTTTGAAATAGCACCACATTGATTTCTGAGCCACTTATATTAGTGTAGCTAGGGTTAGAATTAGTTGCTGTGATGGAGTTAGATTTAGGACTAACGGGAGTAAGAGTTATAGATTATGGTTGGGTTAGAGTGATAAGCTTAGTATCCCAAAGACATGGAGAGATGTGTTGTTAGTTTAAATACTATATTTACGTCAAACATTGCCTAGAAATAAGTATGCATTTCTATTGGATTCATTTCATCTTGTTTTTAATTGCCTGTCCCTTTAAATTGTGTTTTGTTTTGGTTTTCTTCCAGTTCCCAAAATGTTTTTTTTCACTAAACTAATTTTAGTGAATTAAAATCTGAATGGGAAACTTTAGACTAAAATAGCTGATCTGTAAAAATTCTGCAACTCAACTATAATCACAACTTTGTTACTTTAGCATCGGGTTTGACAATAGGATTTTAATTTGCCAGTTTGTATCCACTAAACAGCCAATTGCTCTCTAGAGTTTGGCTAGTCTAACCTAGACTTTGCCATTTAAGTTTCAATGTAAAATAATTCACTATTTAGTGAATAAGACCCTATAATGTTCAATTGTTTTTTCTAATACTGGATCTTGTTAGATTACTGCTGCTGGAAGAAAAATATAATGTAAGTGGGAAATGGTCATTTATATACTATAAGGATTATTCACTAAAGTGAGAGTTCAGCCATACTTCCATTTCAGCTACTCTGGTTTAAATTTGAATTTCTCTTTGAATTTTCATTTTAGTAAATAACCCTGTAGATCATGCTTTCCCAAACTCTGGCCCTCTAGATGTTGCTGAACTACAACTCCCATGATTCTCAGTCTGTCATTCATGGAATCATGGGAGTTGTAGTTCAGCAACATCTGGAGGGTCAAAGTTTGGGGAAGCCTACAGTGTAGATCAATGTCTTTAGATAAGGGCTGCCCAACAGGTATATCCCCGGATGTTGTTGAACTACAAACGCCCATGATGCTTTGTCATTCTAAATGCATTCTAAAGGCATGCAACGCATCATGGGAGTTGTAGTTCTAAAACATCTGGGGGTCTACCTGTTGGGCAGCCCTGCTTTAGATGATACCATAGTTTTCTGACCTTATGTGTGTGCACTATATAACCCTAACATAACTTAGAGTTGGCAGTTTCCTATTGCAGTATTTCTTAGGGATAAATGCCAAATTGTATCCCAGCCCAATGCAATTTCTGACTTAGGGGCTTATTCACTAAACAGAGGTTTCACTATCAATTAACAACATCTAGCCCAAAATAGTTAAGTTGGAAAATGATTGTTTTTTTGAGTTTCTTCACCAAATAGTTGTGGTGAGCTGAAAAGGTACTTGGAACAATTAAGCCAAAATAGCTGGATTAAAAAAAAAATGTTGCTTAAATTATAGATTTTGTTTCAACTCTAGGATTTTGACCTAAAGTTGCAAATGTGTAGTTAAGTCTCCCCAGATCACCATTCAACTTATAAACCCCCAATTTAATAATATATATAGTTGTGCAATGAAAATGATTATTTCCCTAATTTGAATTACCACTGTCGCCTAGAAATAGCTACGCCCGTTTGTACTGTAACGCACTGTATTGTAACACACTGTACTGCATTGTATTGTACTATATCATTGCGCGATACTGCGCATACCCCTCCACCTTTTTCCTTTCTGTACCCCCCTGATCTATTGAACCTATGAAAATAAAAACTTTGAATCGGAAAATGATTATTTCATAAGCGTTTCCCATTTGTCTTACCTTTTTATATTCTCCTGACTGTTCCAAGTACTTTTTCCAGTTTAAAAGATAGCCTACATTAACATCTCATGCAAGTTAGTACAGACTAGTTAATAAACACCATTAGCTATATTCACAGTAAAATCTTTGCTTTGTCCAAACAGCAACTATGTAGTTTTTAGATTGTGTTTTGTCATTGTTTTAAAATGAAACCTGAACGTGTTACACTGTTGTTTTTTTATGGTTTTCTTGTTTTTTTCTGAATGAGTTATCCAAACTCCATGTGCAGTTATATATACACATTTCCATTCTTTACTTCCCTGGAGAAGACAGATCAAGCCCTCAGCCAGCACAATGAAAGACTGATCAGCACCAACTTACAGTACAGAGAACATTCCAAGGAACTGCCTGAGGTTCTTAACCACAATCGTTCACTTTGACAGTGGAGTCTTCCTGAATCCCTAACTGTCCCATAGGGAGGATCTGAAACTTGAGACACCTTCTAACTATTAGACAAACGATTGGATCCTTCACCCAAAAAAATCCCTCCCAAGAAAGCATGTACAATCTGTGAAATTGCTTGAGCGATTTTGGAAACGATTGGAGGAGTAGTCAGGTTCCCTCCCCTCCTGCACCTGACTAGTAGCTATTTACAGCACTTTTCAAGAAGTCCCTTCAGTGTATGGACTCAGTGAGCGCTCAGACAATGCTGTAGGGATCAGTGTGTGGGCAGGGAGGGATTCGCTGGGCGCTCCTTATTGGGAACCGTTATTTAGCAGACAGCTATAGTAACCCACATTACTGAAAATGCCACGATCCTTCCTGGTCAAGAAACACTTCAACTCCTCCAAAAAGCCTAATTATGGGGAGCTGGACAATCACACAGGTAATGAACGTTCTAATCGAACTGCACTTAGAACTTAACCCTTTCTCAGTGCCTGTCAGCTTAACTCTTTGCCTGGACTCTGTGTGCAACTGACATGCACAGAAAGTTAACCCCACTGCTACCAGTAAACTCTTAAAGTATTCTATTCATTACATTTCCCCAATAAACTTATGTAGTATGCAGTTAAAAATGATAGTGTCAGTTGGTAGGGGATGCAAGGCATTTAGGAAGAATATAGTTGTGTTTTTTAATTTTTATTGTTTGGGGGGCGGGGGGGTTTGTCAAAATTTAAAACAAACTTGTTTGGTAGAGTTACAGAGGATTTTGATCTGTGTATGCTTAATTTTATCAGTGTACTGTAAATTAAAAAAAAAAGGTTTTCACTTTGTACATAAGAAGGGAATGCTCTTGCAACTTTGACATATTAAAGAATAAAGTAGGATAGTGGCTGGAGCTGTAAATCAAATTTTATATTTAATTTATGCTGTTTTCACTGTCTGTAGTTTTACTATACATCTGTTTTGTTAATGATTTTTAATTATCTGCATTGGTAATGTTATGTGTTTTATTATCACACAGTACAGAGAGATTTGTGTGTGAATTATTACTCATGGAGTTTTTTTTTTTTCTTGTGTCCCCAGTGATTATTTCCCCCATTCTGTATGAAAGATACCCTGTATCTATCATTCCCCAGGCAGACATTCTCAGCTCAGTTGCCTATGGTCCTATCACAGTCTGGAATAGCCTTCTTCCTCCCCCATTGCCCCACGATCTCTCACCTCTGTCGGGATACCCTTCCTCTGTAGGACGTGTAAGCCCTCCACCTCAGTCAGACACTTCATCAAAAGACCACAGCGGTTCAGAAAGTCCAATCAGCGATGAAGAGGAACGACTTCAGTCCAAACTGTCTGACTCTCATTCTATAGAAGGGGAGAAGTTCCAATGCAGTTTGTGCAGTAAGACATACTCCACTTTCTCTGGGCTGGCAAAACACAAGCAACTGCACTGTGATATTCAGTCTAGGAAATCCTTCAGCTGCAAATACTGTGAAAAGGAATATGTGAGCCTGGGAGCACTGAAAATGCACATTAGGACACACACGTTACCCTGTGTGTGCAAAATCTGTGGAAAGGCTTTCTCTAGACCCTGGTTACTGCAAGGACATATCAGGACTCATACAGGTAACAAACTTAGATTAACTTGAAATATATATTTAAGTATTTCAACTCTAAGCTTTCACTGGCCCTGTTTTGGGGGGAAAGGAGAAAAAAGTTAAATCCCCAACTTTGCCTTAAATAATTTTTATATTTTATAGAGAAATGTGTTAAATGAAAGAAATTAAATGTCTCACCAAACTAAAAGGCATTGGAAATGATAATAATGAAGTAAAAAATAATACTTGATTTTAATAAAGAGGCTGATTTGTGGACATTAACCTCTGAAGGGCTAGTGACATTCCAGTTAAATCATGATGTAAAATAAATTACTTAACCCCTGCCCCAAAAAAGGTTAACCATTTATTGCCACCCAGATTTTGTTGAATGAACTTAAATGAAAAAGTTATATTTGTGATGTTTTAGCCAGAATAGCTTAATGGTGGGGGAATGATACATTTGGGTATTTGTTACTTTAAGCGCCATTACACACCTCTGTGGTACATCAGAGGTTAACATTTTAAGCCTGGTTAGCTTATTCAATGACCTCAACGTACTTTTGCTATGTCTAAATCCTAGAGCAGGGTTCTACAAACTCTGACCTTCTAGTTGTTGCTGAACTACAAATCCTTTGACTCTTTGAATGAAATAGATGGCCAGAGAATCATGGGAGTTGTAGTTCAGCAATAGCCGGAGGGCCAGACCTGTATCTAGAGCAATGGTGTTTACATTTTGTCCCTTCTGCTGCTGTGAGTTATTTTTCCTATTAGAAAGCTGAGCATCATGGGTAATGCAGTCCATATAAGCAGGAGTTCCAAATGTAAACCATGACTGAAGAAATGTCTAAAAAGAATGCCAGTGATGTATGTGCTCAGTTGGAACGTTCCAAAGTATAATAGGGATCACTTACAGTTAAATTACTAGTTGCAGCAACATAATACTGTAAGACGCTCTGCAAATGTATAACAATCTAAACAAGCAGAGCTCAACATGTCCCCACTAATATCAAACATGCAAGGAATGTTCTCCAGTGTTCCCTCCATCTGAAAAGGCAATGCAGTATTCAGTGTTACAGTGACTGGTCAAACAGGGCTAGTTGAACACTATTGTCTTAATAATAATAATAAAATATGATATCCCCTGTGAAGTAAAAGTGTATCAGGGAGATCAGCCAATCACCATACAGTATACATGTCTATGCAGTCATATTTACAGTAATACTTCCCTGGTGTCATTAGCCCCTAAGGTGATGGAGGTGTGCAACTTATTACAGCAAACTGAACTTGCTTTTTTGTTTCTTTTACATTTTCAAAATGTATACACTACCAAAAAGGGAAGTGCTAGCTATGATTGAGATGGAACATTTTATTATATTATTGTATGTTTATTTAAAATGCTCAAATTTTTTTTATTTTATTTTTTCAGGAGAAAAGCCATTTTCATGCCCACATTGCAATCGAGCATTTGCAGACCGGTCCAATTTAAGAGCCCACCTCCAAACACATTCTGATGTAAAGAAATACCAATGCAAGACCTGTTCCAAAACTTTCTCCAGAATGTCCCTTCTTCACAAGCACGAGGAGTCAGGCTGCTGTGTAGCACACTGACAGTGCCACTCCAGTCAACACATGTTTACCAGGACCAAACTAGCTTATTCAGAGTCCCCTGTTCTGAAGACACAATGCAAACCCAAATGGTATTTCCTCCACAGGCTTCTAACCAAAGAAAAATCTATGAAATGTGTACCTACACCAGCTTACCTTTGTGAAACAACATGGATTTAAAGATTTGAATACCAAATAAAACATTTCAAGATGCCAGAGGGTGAGGGGGATGACCATGTGTTTTCTGACTTTACCAAATAACTATTAAGATGAGAAACATATTTCTCTTCTTGCCTCTATCATTTCAACCACAAAGAGTTTGTGGGTGTTATTTTTCTTTTTTTTTCTTTTTTTTTTTTTTTTTGCCTGGACAATTTTGTGAGAATCTCAGGTGCCATAGAAAGTTCACCAGATAATCTATATATCATCTTTGTGCTGATAATGAAAGAAAATGTTGTTTTTTAAAGAATTCTCACTGTAAACAGGACCGTTGAGTTTAGGCTAAACATGTTTTTTTTTGTTTTGTTTTTTTAAAAAGTGCCTTCAGACATGGTGTATGTTTGTTTATTTTTGTTTTTATTTTTTAACCGTGTTAAATTTTTTTTTTTTTTTTTACATTTTAGACTTTTTTTCATTTTATGGGATATGTGCAAAAGAATAAGGGTTAAAGGCAGTGTGCAATTGCAGAAACCAAAAATGTAAGTGCACAGAACAATGTGCAATGCACATCTACAGCATAACAAAACCCTCCATGTGCCTTTTTATAATAATGTAAAATATGTGAATATAATGTAAATTGTTATATTTTTATATATTTTGTGTGTGTGTGTGTGTGTGAGAGAGAGAGTGGGAAACTGCATTTAGCAGCGTTCCACATCATTTTAAAAAAGTGATGCATTTGGTTTTTATTTTTTTAAACTTTATTTTTTTTTTTTTAAATAAAATCTTTTGATAAGTATATTTATATATTGTGATTCTTTATGGGGATGGCTTGTTGGTTAACTTGCATTGGATTCACTTATTGGATGTGTGGGTCTTTTAGAGGCTTCTTAGGCTTTGGCAATAAAATGAACTTATCATTTTCATCAGGAAGGTGTACATTGCATGCTGTGGGATGTGTTACTATGCTACCCAAGCAGGGCATAAATGGTAGAAAGTGGGCAGGAGGTAGGGTGGAGATGAGTGTTACAACAGCTTTAACACACTATTACAGGCTAGTGATAGCACCGGAGAGGGGCAAGGATTTTCTCAATAATTCCTAAAATAATACAAAATGTGATTGCTTAAAGGTGCACTTAAGCATGCTCAAGTGCTTTGTGTGGTTAGCTCAGTGGAGCTAAGCTCAAAAGGCAGTCAATTGCTCAGAGCACCTGAGTTGTAATCCCTTCTCATTGAGCTGTATTAGGAACATTTATATAGCGAGAACAAATTCCATAGCGCTTTACAATACTATGAGAGGTGGGATTTAACTATAAATAGGGCAATTACAAGAAAACTTACAGGAACGATAGGATGAAGAGGACCCTGCTCAAATGAGCCTACAATCTATAGGACTTCTATTGGGTTAGAACAAGAGTGCTTGCAAAGGGAGCAGACCAGAAATCTGAAGCCTTTGCTGTTTTTAAGATATACCCCCAATAAAAAAAAAATGTATAATGCATGAATGTCTTTATTAAGGGAAAAACTACTAAACAGTTTTTATTTAACTTGGCTACTGGAGAGACAGTATAGTCTAGGAGAAAGAGTTTGAGCTGATGTAGCTGTGAAATCTTAAACCAACAAGAATACTCCAGATACTGAAGATAGGCCACAGGGGGCATTGTTCAGGATACTCTAAATACATAGGTGCCCAAAAAGTAGATCCCAGATTATTTTAAACCTACAGCTTCCATGATGCTATGTCATTCTAAAGGCATGCAAAGCATCATGAGAGCTGTAGTTTAACATCTGTGGATCTACCTTATAGGCACCCCTGCTCTAAAACATTTATTTTTATTTTTTTTGCACAAAATGTACACACAAACACAATTTTAAGCCAAAAGCTATAAAATGCATAAAGTTTTGTTCCTTTTAAGTGAACCTATAATGACGAGTTCACTTTTTTAAGTAAATAGGGATTTTTATGAAATACTTATCATGGTATTACAGCACTCAAACAGAAACCCTAGTGAGACATTTTTAATTTGTGTACAATAAAGATATAGTAAAAAATTCCTAAAATAAATTGGTGCCACAATCACCTGTGTGGGCCACACCACCACAAATAAAATAAGTGATATAATAAAATACAACAATGGTGAGAGCACTCAAGAATAATATAAATTTTACCCAAACTCTGTCAATCAATCTGAAACATTAAAACAGAAGAGAGAGACATAGGGTAATATAGTTTAAATAGAATATGTGTGTAACAATTAATGGTCTCACTGACATATACAGAGCCACTTAAAAGCTGGCTCAAACTTCAGGCTTGGAAAACAGTGGAAAACAGGACTTCACATGGGAACTTCCAAGAATTCTGTAGCTGGTACCCCCAATTTCATTCAGGACGCCAGAATGAAGGTGGTTACAAATAAAATTTATTGAAAATAAATAAACAGAATATAATGCCTCTAAAAGTAAGTCCCTTAAAAGGTAAGTCCAGTCTCTCAATGCGTTTCGGCTCTCGCCTTCATCCGGAGTATTACTTACTCCGGATGAAGGCGAGAGCCGAAACGCGTTGAGAGACTGGACTTACCTTTTAAGGGACTTACTTTTAGAGGCATTATATTCTGTTTATTTATTTTCAATAAATAGTATTACTTACTCCGGATGAAGGCGAGAGCCGAAACGCATTGAGAGACTGGACTTACCTTTTAAGGGACTTACTTTTAGAGGCATTATATTCTGTTTATTTATTATCAATAAATTTTATTTGTAACCACCTTCATTCTGGCATCCTGAATGAAATTGGGGGTACCAGCTACAGAATTCTTGGAAGTTCCCATGTGAAGTCCTGTTTTCCACGCCTGAAGTTTGAGCCAGCTTTTAAGTGGCTCTGTATATGTCAGTGAGACCATTAATTGTTACACACATATTCTATTTAAACTATATAACCCTATGTCTCTCTCTTCTGTTTTAATGTTTCAGATTGATTGACAGAGTTTGGGTAAAATTTATATTATTCTTGAGTGCTCTCACCATTGTTGTATTTTATTATATCACTTATTTTTAATTTGTGATTAAAATGTAAATTTGGTCACAGATTAGGGTTAAACACACAAGAGGCCTTTTCTGTTGACTTTAATATTTCACTGTTTTTCCTATTTTTTTTTTAATACTCTCAGCTAAAGTATATCTAATGCAAAATAATGCCTTCTATAGATGGTGCAAAATAAATGTTTTTTGGAGTGAAGGCCATGAAGCCAACAGAGAGACTTGAAATGTGTCATAGAGGTACTCTGTTGACTTACACCTACATGTAATTTACTTT